CAGAATATGGCACCTGGCAAAGGTGATGGGATGTCCCTCCTGTGGTTATGTTACAAGTTCACGGTACAAACTATAACATACACATGTTAAGGTTATGTTAGAAATATGTTACACACACACACACACACACACACACACACACACACACAACTAACTCTGTTGGAAGCAGGCACTGAGAGACTCCTGCCGGCCCTGACCTTGAAGAAGCAAGCTGCTCTAATGTGAACTGTCTGTCATGGGGAACAGCCCGCATTGGCAGCCTGGAGTAGCTGAGGGACGCGGCCCTACTATGGCAAGGCACGTGGTCCTACTATGGCATGGATCATGCCAACAGCAGAGAGCTTGGATGAGGACCTGGGTGAGAACAGAGACCAATAGCCTGACCGCAGCCTCGTGAGGCCCCGGGCAGAAGACCCGGTGGCCTAAACGCCTGACCCACAGATACTCTGAGGTCACAGGTGCGCTGTCTTAAGTGGCTGAACTTGTGATTTGCAACGCAGCTGCAGAAATGAATATGGCTCTGGGAACAGAGCAAGGGCCCGTGGTGGGAGGGCGACGAGGAAGCTCCCACACCACATCCAGGAGCAGGTCCCCCGCTCCACACTGGAGGGGACACGTCAGGAGGCCGTGAGCTGTCCCCCTGTCCCATCTGGGTGGGGCAGCCCCAGTTCGTGGCTCCCGAGGGACTCCTGCGCTGGGTCAGAGGTGGGGCGGGTTGACCTCTGAGGTTCTTTATACTTCTAAGAGGAGAATTCTGAGTCTAAGATTCTAGCGCCTTTGAACCAGGCTGGTGCCTGAAGGCAGGGGCTGCAGTGCCGTGAGCGGAGGAAGTGGGAACCACTGTTCACCCTCCAGTCAGTACCCTGCACAGAGTAGCTGCTCATCAAGAGAACACGCCCGCCCCGCACTGAGGCCAGCCAGGCGGGCGGGGGTTAATGCAGCGTCGTTATAGCGCCGGGCATCGGCTGGGCTGGTGACCACAGCGAGGGCGCCCCTGCTCGCATGCCCTCGCCACAGCTGCCTGCTGACAACCTTGATACCCTGCCCTCTCGCCTTACTGTAAATCCCGGGAGCCCGATCGGGCCGGGCAATCCTGTTGTTCCGGGTCTCCCTTGGCCACCTGGTTCTCCTTTCTCCCCAGTTGGGCCGTCTAGACCCTACAGATCGACAAAGATTTCTGTTAGTCAAGAAGAAGGTCATCAAGTGGGCCTCTGCGACCAACCGTGGCATGCACACATGGCTCCCTTCCTCCAAGGGCAGGTGTCTAGGATGGTGCCCATTTCACAGATAAAAACCACTGAGGCCCAGAGAAGACTCCCAGGTCAAGTCGGCAGCCTGGCTGGACTGGGTACGGTCCTTTCTTTGTACCTGCAGCCTCTCCGGGGTATCAGGCTTCCGCATACTTTCCAAAGAGGCACATTTACACCTACGACTTCATCGCCTTCCCAACAACCCAGTGAAGGGTCCAGGGGAAGCATTCTTATCCCCATTTTAGAGATGACAGAACAGGTTCTGCAAGGCTCCGCAACTTTCCCGAGGACACAGGAGATGACAGAACAGGACCAGTTCTCCTGAGATAGGAAACTGGCCTTCATAAAAGAAAAGGGGGGCTTGAAGGGAAACCCAGCTGAGTCTCCTGCCCCCACTTCCTGGCTGCAGGTCTCCAGCCCAGGCCGCGGTGGGGACCCTGAGGAAGCCCTGCTGGGGTGGCACACTGTGCAGGCATACACGTGTCACAAGGTAGGGTCCCGGCCGGCCCAGCACTCACCGGTGGGCCTGCTTGCCCCGTCTCCCCTTTCTCCCCCTTTTCTCCCGGGCTCCCCACGTGTCCGTCTTCACCCTTCATTCCTGTGGGCCCAGCCTTTCCTGGGGGGCCTTGGGGACCGGGAGGGCCCATGTCGCCTGGTTTGCCTCGAGGTCCCTTTAGAAAATATCAGCAATACTTATTATATACACTAATGGAGAAGAGAGAGAGAGAGAACAGGAAAGAACGGGAGGTCCAAAGGATGTGGCTCTTCAGTGCTTGACTGGCCCAGGTGAAGAGCCTGTCCACTTTCCCTGGGAATTCTAGAAACTTCCAGCCCAGCCCAGCCGGGTCTTCCTGGCTCCTCTGGGGCCGGCAGTGTGGGGCTCAGGCTTGCGTAGGGTTGGCCCCCACCTCCCCTACTCTCTTCCCCACAAGGCTCACACCTGGGCTTCTTCCAGAGCCTTCTGTCCCCCCTCCCGGTCCCCCTGCCAGCCCAGGTCAAGGTCCATCTTCGGAGGCTTGTCTGGGAGTGTCTGTTCTTACCTTTTCCCCATCGTGTCCTGGAGGGCCTGGAAGTCCAATCTCCCCCTGTGGCCAGGACAACTAAAGGTCACTCTCAGAGCAGAGACGAATGATAACTGTCATTTATGGGGCGCTTCCCATGTGCCAGGGTCCCCCGGAGGTATGTACTTGCACTGCCTCCATTTCCAGGTGAGGACCCCAGGGCGGAGGTGTGTGCCCAAGGCCTGCGGTCTGTGCAGAGTGGAGCTAGGTCCGAGTCCGGGCCTCCTGGCCCCACAGGCCACATTTTGGCCACAACCTTGCGTGCTGCCACTGAGGGCCCTGGGTACTCCCTGGGGGGCTGTTGTCTCCCAGTGTCCCCCAACCCAGCCCTCCTGTCCCGCCTGCCCCAGGGGGAGCTCCCTGTATCTTCACGTCAACCCAAGCCTCTTCTTTAGGTCAGGGAGGGAGATAAAGGAGGCCTAGTCTCTGTCTTTGAGGCCAGTAAACAACGAGCCATGTCTCCAAGGCAAAATGAGGCTATGAGGGGAGCAGAGAGGAAAGGGCAGTGAATTCTGCCTGGTAGATCAGGGGAGGCTTCAAGGAGGAGGTGGCCTTTGAGTTGGGCTCACACTATGAGGAGTGGGAAAGGTAGGGGAAGAGGGGAAGGAGCTTCAGGGCAGGGGCCCTCATGAGCAGAGGACAGAGGGGCAAACGTGCAGGGTCTTCTGAGAAAATCACAGGGGTGAGGCAGAATATAAAAGAGCAAAGGCAGGGAGTGAGGGAGGAGGGAGATCGGGGAGGAGCTTAAGTGCCACGTCGCCTGATGGGTGGGTTGGGGGTCCCCACGTGGTTTTGCCTGGAGCATGGCTTGTCTAGACCCAGGCTCCACCACATCAAAGGAGCCTGTGGATTACAGCAGCCCAAGTCAGGCAGCAGAGCCGAGGTGGCCGGTCTGGGGGTGGCTGCGATGTGGGCAAGGTAGGGCCTGGGGCGCCTGGGAGCCGCGGGAGGAGTCACAGGCCAAGTCGCCATGGTGGCTCTGCAGGGAACACTAGAGGGTCACCCATTGGCTTCCGCACTCAGGGACACACGCAGTGCCTCTGTGGGGCCCGTCGCCCCGCCCTTGTCAAGACAAGTGTTACCTTCTGGCCTGGGATCCCCGGGGCTCCGGGTGGGCCGATTTGCCCGGGAAGACCAGGGGGCCCCTAGGAAAGAAAAGAAAGACCCGTGGAGGAACTTTCCAACCAAGGAGGGGTGGCCTGTTGCCAGAGGGGTGTGTGTGGAGGCTGGTTTCCGGAGATCAATCATTTTCAAACATTTCATCCTTTTCGCAAAGGAAACAGTATGGGGTTCCCACTGTGTAAGGCAGATGAGCCCCAAGTGCGTCTGGATTAGAGTGATGCTCCCCAAACCCACCGACCTAGAGCCACGCCTAACAGCCTCTCCCTCTGAACACCCCTGGGGGCTCCTGGGCTCCAAGAACATGATTCTGACCTCTCCTGACGGGGCCTTAAAAATGCCTCCAGGAAACAGTCTAAATAGCCATCAGCAGGTGAAGGTCTGCGATGCCCATACAATGAAATATTACTTAGCAGTAAAAAAGGAAGCAGGCACTGGTTCCTGCCAGGCCACGGATGAAACCCAGACACATTATGCTGAGTAAAAGAAGCCAGACACAGACGAGAATACAGTGTGATTCCATTCAAATGACACTCCAAGAAAGGCAGGTGTAATCTACTGTGACAGAAAGCAGATCCGTGGTGCCCCGGGGCTGAGGGTCGGTGTGGGATTGACGCCTGAGGCACATAAAAGAACTTTCTGGAGTGACTGGGGTGGAGGATACGTGGGTATGTGCATTCGTCAAAGCTTAGCCAACTTTACCCAAAAGTGGGTACGTTTTATTGTGTGTAACTCATACTTTGAGGTTGATTTTAAAAGAACCAAGAATTCCATGAAAGTTCAAATAATATATGTTAATGTTCCCAAACGAAGCTCATCGATTCCAGAATCGTGTGATGTTAATACCCACCTCCGGGGTCAGGGGATGCCGTGCCTGGTGCTTGATTCTGGATCTGTACACCCCCTAAGCCTTCTGTGGCACGTGGCCGTGAAAAATAGTAAGTGAAATGAAATCCCAACAGTTGGAGAACTTTGTGATCTCCTTTCTTCTCTCCACATGGAACTTAAACCTCGGGGTGGTTGTGTTAACCATAAATGTTCACCACAAAAATGCACAGGCCTGTCACTGGTAGGTGCACAAGTAAAACCTGGGCTTGGAATTCTCTGGCTTTCTGAGTGCAGAAAATGAAATTGATTCCTAGGGAAGGTGAAAATGCAGAGGTTGAGTTGCTACTGATTTTTTAGGGTTATGGATTTTATTGGCTGAAGGTTGAGAAAAACGAGAAGCCTAAAAGCATCCTCCTTGGGGCACCTGGGTGGCTCAGTCGGTTAAGCGTCGGACTCTTGATCTCGGCTCAGGTCATGATCTCGCGGTTCGTAAGATCGAGCCCCGAGTCGGGCTCTGCACTGACGGTGTGGAGCCTGCTTGGGATTCTCTCTCCCTCTCTCTCTGCCCCTCCCCTGCTCGCACTCTCTCTCTCTCTCAAAATAAATAAATAAACTTAAAAAAGAGCAGCCTCTTCTCTACCTCCATCTCCTTGACACAGCTTTATGGAGAAGCATAGGAGCACGCAGTGGAATCGGCTGTCCAGAGGACAATTGGGACCCCGGGTCAGGGAGGCTCCTGAGACCCCCCTGCTCGGGCTCCCCTCACCCTCTGCCCCAGCACTTCACGGTCGGTCCAAACCCAGATGCCTAGCACCTGCTTTCTGGAAGCTAGACCTCAAGTCCTTGCCCTCCCCTGGCCCCCAGCCCCCAGCCCTCAGCCCTGTACCCAACAGAAAGGGGAAGACTTACCATCAAGGCCAGCGTTCGGATCTCCTGAAAACCAAAGCCATGCAATCAGTTGAAGAACAAGTCCAGAGCCACCTGGAGGCACCCCTTGGCCCAGGCAACGAGGGAGCTGGGCCTCCCCTTAGGAGCACAGTAGGGGTAGGCCCTGCTGGTGGGCCCCATGCTTCCCAACCCACACCACCCCACCTCTCGCACTGGGCAGACAAGTCCCTACACCTCACCAAATGCTGCTCTGACACTGTCCCCCAACAAACTCAGTCAAGTCCCGAAATGGACCGCAGACTTCCCTTCACTTTGCCAAAGCAGGAGGGCACAGCACATCTCTTATTCTCTCTAATCACCGACTGGGACTCTCCCTTGTTCTTTCCTCTTCCCCCCGAGCCCAGATTTCCAGCCTCCGACGTACTTCCTCGTAAACAAGGGAGCCACTCAAGATATGGAACCGATATAGGAAGATATGGAGCCACTCAAGAAATCAGAGGGACAGCGTTGGCATGAAGTCAGGATTATACACCTTCCAGATGGATTCACAGAGGTACTTTCTTTTGAGCGGTGGTTCTCAACCCCGGGGGTGAGGTTTGGCCCCCAGGGGACTTTTGGGAATGTCTGGAGACATATTTTGGTTGTCACAACTGGGGGAGGGGTGCTACCGGCATCTAGTGGTTAATCACCCTACAACATGCAGGGCACCCCTCCCCCACAACTCCCAACGAGCACGCTCTAGCCATTCATGGCAATACCCTGCTTCAAAGGGTGGGTACCATATGAACTTGAAACGTGATTAAATAGACACGCAAAGGAGATATGTTTCAGAAAGACAGATTCTACCATGTGAAAGGGCTATTGAAGAAACGGGGCTCCAGAACCCTGGATAGGTCAACATCCCACAGGGTGCCAGGATGCTCCGGTTACGGCTCTCAGTTCCCCAGAGCCAGGATAACCCGCCAGCCGGGCCACACCAAGGGCTGGGCCTCCCGGCTGCCAAACGAGGGAGGGGCATTTTCCTGGAGGCTGCAGGCAGAGGCCAAGGGAGACAGAGCAAGGGGGCCTCTCTTCTGGAAGCTCTGCCCATTAGCCTGGCCTCAAGGACACTAACTGGGGTGCTGGGGCGCTCCCTCATCAGGGCCGTGGTGCAGAGCCTTGGAGGCCCCCGGGCATCTCCACATCTCTAGAGTCTGGGTTAGCCCCCACTCACCTGGAGAGCCTCGTTGATGTTCCCATTGTAGTCCACCATTTCTTTGCCTGGTTCCCCCTTGCTGCCCTGCAAGACAAACGTGGTCTCACCCCCGGCCCGGGCCCAGCAACCGCTGCCCGCTGTTAGACGGGATTGTAGCCAACACGGGTGATGCCTGGCTGCACACGGGTGTATCTAGAGCAGCAGGATGGGGAGCTTGTCAGCGGGTCCCCAACACTGAGGCAGGGTGCCCAGAGGTTCCACGACGGACACAGAAGACTCCGTGCAACAGCTGGGGACTAGCCAGGCCTGGAGAAGACCGAGTCCAGTCACGGCTGCGGTCGCGAACCTCCTGCCACAATCTTTCCCTCCCTCTCCGTCAAGACCCAGAGTCCAGCCACCTCGTGCCGTGAGCCCAGGGAAGTGAGACGTCGCACTGGGACTCTGGGCGAGAGACGCACGTACCTTGGGGCCAGCCGGTCCCTGTTCTCCGGCTGCTCCGGGCTCACCCTGTCATACGACAAAGTTGGAGTGAGACGCAGTCAGGGCTGGGTAAGAGAGAAGCTGGGGGCCATCGTAAGGGTCCGTGGAGGGGCCGGGAGGCTCATCTCAGCTCAGGCCAAGAGGCTGCAAAACGCCCCTGTGCATTAAAGTGCCGGCTCTACCCCTCCAGGAAGCGTCTCCACCCGAGGGCCCTCTTCTGTGCCTCCCAGCGCCTCTGGGCTCCGCTGCTTTTCACTGGAAGGACATTCTTTCTGTCCTGTGTTAGTTGTTAGGGACTCCACCTGTCTGCCTGGCCACCTCTCCCCAGCCCCTAAGTCAGCCACCTCCTTGGGTGCAGGGACCAGGCCCTTTGCTTCGCTGTATTTCCAGTCAGCTCAAGCAGCAAGAGCTCAGTAACTTTTCGCCAATGGCCTGGGCGGTCGTAATTGCCACGGAAGGACCGTGGGTTCTTCCAGAGGCCTGAGTGTGAAAGCCCCAAACTGCAGGATGGAAAAAGGGAGTTCAGCGTAAGGGGAACACTCAACCTCCCTGGTGGGTGGGGTGGGGGTTGCTCCTGCTGGACAGAGGACAGGGCTATGGGGGAAGAAATGAAAACAAACCACACTTCCAACTGTTCTGGGACAACGGTAACATTCAAGACAAATTTCAAAAGTCAAGATACAAAGTAAAGATAAAGGGACAACAGGCCCTTTAATAGAACTCAGCTCCTGGTGACCCTGCAGTGGGCCAGCTCATGGAGCGTTGAGTCACTGCCACCTGCGGGTAACCTGCCCCTTACCCCCCTGTCCCTACAGCATTTCAGTTGCTGAGCACCTGTGAGGGATGGGGCAGCACCGACCTGACCCTCCCACAGGAAGGAGCTGGAGAGGAGTGGGAGCCCCACCTTTACCAGCCGCATGTAAGCTCACAGAAGCAGAGGCTCTGGGAGGCTCCCTGGCCCAAGCATGCACCCCCGAGCCAGCCTTTGCATGACTGCTGACTCGGGGGAAGGCTCTCCCCAGCCTACAGGAGTGATGGCCCCAGGAGTCACGGCCCATCAGCCTTGTGCCCTGGGGGTCCAGCTGTGGGAATGGCCGCCATGATTCTTTCTCTCTCTGAGCTGGGGCCTGAGCTCCCAAGCCGCCCCTTGTCTCGGAACTGGGGGCCTCTGTACCTTGTCTCCTTGCCGTCCTGGGGGGCCGGCCTGGCCATCAACACCAGCTTCTCCCTGGGGAAGAGGAGAGACACGGGCTGAGGGTGTGCAGGGCAGCTCGGCTGGCTGCCTAAGGGGCCACACGAGGGCCTTGCTGTTGACGTTCTGGGTGTTGAGTGTCTTCGGATCTCTGCCAAACTGGGTCTCACCTCCTCCTGGCAGCCTTCCCTGCCTACTTCCTTCCTTCTCTGAGTTCAGCACGGCTTTCTGGGGTCCATACCGCCCTGCCGGGCCCTTCTTATTTCTTGATTAACACACACAGGCCAGTTCTGTGGCAGCCCCCAGATGTGGACTGCTGGACGCCCCTGGCTGCAGGGGGGCAGGTCACTTTGGAACCCGGGACACTTGGCAAGGCACAACTCATCAGGTCCTGCCTGGGAGGCAGAGGGGACCGAGAAGGCCCAGGGCATGTAGGGAGGGGCGCCAGGAGGCCTAGGAGGGGAGGTGCAGAGAGAGATGGCAGGAGGCCCACTGGACATACTTCCCCTAGTCAACATTTTGCCTGGACTTGGAAGGAGGACATAGGTTTGGGAGCAGCCTTCTATCTTTCCTCCTTTTTGTCCCAGGATGCAGGGATAGTCCCCAGACATCCTTGACCCCAGGTCAAGACCCAAGACATGCCAGGTATCCACTCCTTGAGGGGTCGGTGGGACAGACGGGGACAGACTCCAGCCCCGGGGATCCCAGAGCCCAGGTGGCAGGGCCACCTTTGGCAAAGCTGGTGATCATGACAGGGCACGAGCCACAGTCAGGTGGGCATGTGGGGGTGGGCCCGAGACCCTTTCTGCCACTTCATCTCACCTGTCTATGGGCTTCCTTCTGCCCCCAACCCCCTACACTATATCCGTGTGAATTGTGGGTTTGTTTCTCCTGCTAGACTGTGAGCAAGTGGAGGGCAGATTCTCTGCAGCCTTGCAGCCCAGGCAGGGCCCTGCTCACAGCCACCCCTTGACAAACGTTGGTGGGATGAATGTGTGTGTTGTCTGAAATCGTGTCATGAGTCCTTTCCTTACAGGCCAAGAGAAAGAACGTCCCCATGTCCCTATGCTACTGGTATAAACCAAGTAGCACAAAAGGCACCTGCTTTGGGAAACCCCAATCTTACCGTTGCGTTGCCACCCAGTGCAAGGAAGGTGAGGGCTGTCCCATTTGCAGATGACCCCACTGCTGGCCCCCAGCCCCTTCCCCCCACCCCGTGTGCCAGCACCCAGTGGTGGAGCCCAGCTGATCCCTGATCTTGACTTATTCTGAGCCTGGGTGAGGGGCCTTTCTGTCTATCCTGAGGTTCTGTAGCCATCGGTTCCTGACTCAGTTATATCATAGCCATTTGGATCAATGGGACCATCTATCCGCCCTCTTGACTGTTTCCCTTGCATGGTCAAATAGTCACCACTTGGAATCAGGCCCTTGGTCCAAATTGCCTTTGTAGAATCCACTGGAAACCCCACACATCTGGAGCATGAGAGAGGACAAGGTGTTCAGGACAGGGTCCCCAAGAATGGGCTGAAGATAAAGGCCACAGACAGCATCCCCCTTGAGTGCTGATCCCACAGGGAAACTCACCTTTGGGCCTGGGGGCCCAGGTAGCCCTGGGGGGCCGGGCTCCCCTCTGCCCCCTCCAAAGGAGTTGCCAGCGTCGCCTTTTTCTCCCTGGGGGTGGAAGGGTGGGAGGATGGGAGGTAAGTTAACCATCACTGTGTCCGTCTAGCTCTGGAAGTTGGTGGCTGATCCCTGTCTTTTCCCTCCTCATGGTTCCACGGGGTGGAGATAGCAGACCACCCCTCGGTCCAGGCCGGGCCCAGAGGCCCTCAGAAGCCTGGCTTGGTCTTATGGGCCGTGGGATGTGAGCAGACAATGGAGCCAGCTACAGCAGGGGAACAGGTAGGGAGCTAAAACAGGAGACCCATCGTGACTTGGGTCTAGATTCTTTCTCAGACTGTGTCCATGGACACTTCCTTCAGCGGGTGGGGAATATTTGGCATGTGAAAAAAGGAGTCTGGTGGCCAAAGGATGTCAGGAAAGGCAGAGTGAAATGGAGCAGGGCAGGCTCCTTCCCTGCAGGGTGCTCTGAGGCCCTGACGGGCTAGGGTGCCCCGTGCCATCCCAAGGGGCCTGTGTTACGCAGCTCTCCCCAAACGTATTTGACCTCTAGTCTTTTGTTTTGTTTTAAATGGACAGTCTGATGGATCTCACGTACTAGGGGGCGCATTTTCAGAGCTGGTGCAAAGAGATCTGACAAGGTCATAGCTACTGGTCTTTGAATATAGGCGGTTTTTTGTTTTGTTTTGTTTTGTTTTACCAATCAGGGCCTCCCACGTGGTACCCCACACAATAAGCTAGCTGCGTTGCAGTTGCTTTCCCCCAATCTGGGAGGGACACCTCCCGTGCCGGGGCCCGTGTGAATGGTCAGGTGCGGATGAACACCAAGGCCTTTACGCGGAGCCCACCACTCAGAGCTTGCCAACACCCACCTTCTGCCCCAGGAGGCCGAGCAGCCCGGGGGAGCCTGCAGCCCCCTTTTCGCCCTGTGGAGGAAATGCAGACAGTGCAGGGTTAGGACCTGCTTCTCCAGGACAACCGGGAAGGCACCGGCCCCACCAGCATGGAGCTGAGGCTTTCTCTGTCCTGCTTCCCTCCCCCTCTGTGGGCCATTTCCTGCCAGACCCCCATCTGCACCTGACTCCTCCCTTGGGCCACTTCATACTGGTGACGGCCTGCCTCCCTGGTCTCCTGTTCCCATACGGGCTGGGCCCTCATCATTCACGAAGCGACAGGGACCAAGAGCACTTAGCCCCTTTTGGGGTCTCCTGGGGACAGGTGAACGGTTTAGAAGGCTGGTAGTCGGGGAAGCTCTTTTAAGTAATCTGCTCTTTTCATTTTTTAAAATGTCCAGCATTCAGAGCTCCCTGGTCTCTGCCTCCCTCCTCCCTGCCTCCAGGGAAGACAAAAACCATCTAACCATATTTTGAGAAGTTTGCTTCCTGTTATGGGTTGACTCGCGTCCTCCCCAAATTCGTATGTTGACGTTCCAACTGCCAGTATCTCAGAACGTGACCCTCTTGGGAAATAGTGCCATCAGAGATGCAATTAGCCAAGCTAGGAGAGTCATACTGGAGTGAGGTGGGCCCCTAATCCGTACGACTGGTGTCCTTGCAAGAGGGGAAGTTTGGACACGGACATGCATACAGGAAGAACACCATGTCAGGATAAGGCAGAGACCGGGGTGATAATTCTCCACGCCAGGGAACACCAAGGCTGCCGGCAAACCAACAGAAAGGAGGGAAGGACAGAGCAGACCCTCCTTCATGACCTGCAGAAGCAGTGAGCCCTGCTGACTCCTCGATCTCAGACTTCCGGGCTGCAGCACTGCGGGACAGTGACTTTCTGTGGTTTGAGCCACATAGCCTGTGGTCCTTTGTCAGGGCGGCTCTAGCAGACTAACACCCCTCGCTAAGCATCTTCTTCCGCCACGAAGAACTCTTCCCATGACACGCGTCACAGGGCCCTGCTCTCGCTGCGCAGGTGAAGCGGCACCGTGGCTATGCGGGACCCCTCGCGGCCTCAGTGACAGAGCCAGGTCGGGCCCCCGCGTCCGCCGAAGCTCCGCCTTCTACACCATGGAGACGGCACTTGGCGCCCACAGAGTGTCTCCTACGGGGAGAGCACCCCCAAAAGAACCCCTGCAGGCCAACGCTAGAGGGCGCATTCTCCACAGCCCCGTGGCTGCTGGTTCTCCTAGGTAATAATAATACACACTGAGGGCCCCGGGGGTCATAATTCGCCAGATGTCTCGATGATTTTTGCCGCTGGAGCCACAGAAGATGCGGCACCAAGTCTTCAGGTGGCCTCCCCTTGCCACCTGACGGCGCATAGAAGCTGAGTGACAAAATAGCCTGAAGCTGCTCCAGGGAGGAGAGGAATGCCGGGTAAGGGCCCACGTGCTGGGAGGGAAGGGAGTCCTGGGGCCCCAGCAGGTCCTGCTTTGCCTGGGCCGTGCCTGGGATGTGCCTTAACTGGGGTCTGCCCTGCCACAGGCCGAGTCTGAAGGGAAATGATACAGGTGCTGCCCCACGAGGTCCTGGGGGATGGAAGGGGGGGAAGGCCTTCCTTCTGCTGGTCTTTCCTCCTGGGTCACCAACACTTTCAAGGAGGGAGGGTGTGTTCCCGAGTGCAGGATTTCTGAAGCTTTGCCGGGCCATCCCGGCACTCCCTCTTTCTGGGGACACATGCACCCCCCCAGCACACCGCAGGCAGCACACCAGCCATGGGGGCGGGGCAGGGAGTGGGAGACCAGCAGAGGCCAGGATGGAGGGGACACACACTCAAAGACACAATATCCTACCCTCTGCCCCCTCTTCCCCGGCAAACCTGGGGGCCCTGGCTTCCCTGCTGCTCCTGGGTCTCCCTTTGGGGTAAGAAGAGAAAGTCACTGATAAGAGGATGGGGGTGGTGAGGGGTATGGTGGACAGTGATCATAAACCAGTGTTTCCAGAATACTAGTCCCATAAGATGTTACTCTTAAAAAAAAGGATGATCTAGTCAAAAGAAAGTTTGGAAAACGCTGCACCAGAAATTACAGTTTTAGAGCTTCCCAACACACATACGGCATCTTAAAGGTTCTGAGAAGGCCTGCAGTAAAGCAACCTGTGAACTATTTTTTACGTCTGTATTTCCCAAACATATCTGACCATGGAAGCTTTTTTCATGTTACGTCTCTTACAGTCCCAGACAAGAGAGACAGAGCCCTGCAGGCACAGGGGACAATAGTTACTGCCTGCTGGAGCTGGTGTGTAGGCAAGCTATCCGAGCTTCCCAGACCAGAATGCAGGGAGTGGGAGGCAATCCTGCCCAGCAGGCCCCTCCTGGGTGGGCTGTCCTCCACTCAGCCAGGTCCCCAGCTCCGGGTCAGCCTCAGGGGGACCAGGAGCATAACAACAGCAGCCACTGTCACCTCCACCCCATGCTTGATGCTCCGTGCAGCCCAGAACATTCCCTCTGTATCAGTACCTTGGCTCCTGGGGTCCCCGGCTCACCCTGTGTGGAAAAAAAAAGAAGACTCAGGTAAAGAGATGAGGGAGAGAGAGAGAGAGCGAGCAAGCTAGTGTAGGAGCCATTAAGCAAAGGTACTCATGGGGTAGGTGAAGCATCTGGCCAGCCCACGGCTTTCCTCTGCCTAGGCCTCAGGTCCCAGGCCAAAGGAGGCCTCCGGACGATTCCGTACCCTTCCCCTCGGTGGCGATGTGGCAATGTGAATGCCAGCGAGGCACCCCAGGTGGAGGGAGGGGAAGGAACGGGCGTTGGCTTTGGACAAGGTGCCCTCTGTGAGTGGACCTGCCGGGAGATCCACATTTGTGCTTTGGGGGTCCGCAACCATCTGCCTACCAACCCAACGGGTGGCTCGGGTGGGGTTCGGGAGAAGGTCTCCTGTTCCCTGCTCTGAAGCTTGGCAAGCACACAGCTGCTGAATTCTGAGGGACGAAGGAAAACGCTGGGTTCCCTTGCACGCCGGCAGGGGGGTGAGACCTTTAGTTGAGGCTGGTAAACCTTCGCTACTTACTTTGCAAGGCTTAGTTAAGCCTCTCTTGCTCAAGTTGTGCATAAGGGCCTAAATGTGGCCTTAAGAGAAGTGTTTCTGAATCCTGTCTGCCCCCTCCTTGGTCCAGCGGCCAACCCACTGAGTCCCTGAAGGCCCGATTCTGTCTTCCTCTCCCCTTTCCCCCCATCCTGCCCCTTGTGTGTTGAGCGACAACGTTCCACCGACCTTCATCCCCGCCACGGTGATTCCGGGAGCCCCCTGGCAGAGAGAAGAGAAGGCGTGGTGACTTTCTGCAGTTGGGACAGGCACGGAGGGAGCGGCCCGCCTCCCGGCCTCCCCTTGAGGGGGATGTGGAGCCAGACCACTGGCTTCTGCCCGCTGTCCAGACCCTCAGCAGGGGTGGGTGGCTGAGTGTGGCACAGGGAGACCAGGCCCCGAGGAAGGAGGAGGCTCTGTGCCGGTGAGCTCCCCAGGCTTCCCAGCCGCCTGCTCAGGGGGCCCAGGGGGACCCAGATGGGGGTCTCTCTGGGATGCAATGTGGGGAGGGCTTCCGTGGGACAGGAAAGGAGGAGGAAGAGGAGATGGGAAGGAAGGAGGGTGGAAGGGAGAGCCGCACGGCAGGGGAGAATGGGACGTGGCTGATTTGACCCCTGAGCCTGCAAGTGGGGTTCTTCTCACAGAGAGCTCTCTGGGCCTGTGCCCTCATGGACTGGGGAGCAACCGGGAGCGAACCCCATTTCCACATCAGCCCAGGACCAACCACTTGGAGGTAAACAGGCTGCCAAAGGCACCCCTCAGTAAATCCCAAGTGGAGGTGATTTTTAGGGAGTCCCTACCCCCCGCGTGGGACTGCAGCCAGGGCTGGGGTGACCCGGGAAGCTTTGTAACGACCCAGAGATGCCCAGGAGGTGGCCTGGCCACTTCAGGGCACTGGTGAGTGTCGGCTCACGGGAAGAACAGGCTGGCACAGCAAGGGGAGAGGGCTGGGGAGATATGTACCCGCCTTCACGTCTTCACAGCGGCACATGGGCAGGAGGAGTGGGGCCTCCGAGGTGTCCCAGGGCTTGGGAGAGAGGGCTGGGGCTCAGGCAGGGGCTGCCTGGGATGGGGTGAGGGGCACGTACCTTGGCTCCGTGTTTGCCCGGCATCCCCGGCATGCCTCGTTCTCCCTGAAGGAAGAAACAGAAGAAACGCTGAGGAGAGGGCCTGACTCGCCTGAGGCCCTCGGCCCTTGAAGCATGGCCTGCGAGGATGTCAATGAGGCGTCCATCCTGGTTGGTCTGGAAGCCCGGGACGGCCGTGCAGCTCACGCTGAGCTTGGAGGACCTGCCACCACCGGCGGCCACCACAGGCCACGTGAACTCACGGAAGGGCCCAAGTCCCAGAGCGCAGATCACGGTGCAGGAAAGGCGCCCAGCGAGATGGGGCTCACCAGCCGAGTCTGAGTCCTGAGGGGGCTGCGGGGGGAGCTATTCCAGATCTGCCTCCAGCCAGGGGCCCCGCTGGCTCGGAGCTCAGTGCAGCAGGGCCATGGGTGGAAGGGGTTGCTTGGCCATCACCGGTGTCCCCTCCCTCCAGGTCCCGCCTGGCCCTTCTGGCCCTATTTTCTGGTGCCTGCTGGCTGGGCCACTTCCTCCCGGCCTCCTGGGGTCTAACTCCTCCAGAGGGCGTGGCGGAGGGTGGGCCTTGGTTTGGGGGGCGGGGACTGTGGGTGGGGGCAGGGCTGCACCTGGAACCCATCCAGATGCCCCGCGGGGGCTGTGGCTTCAGGACACTGTGGGGTTTGCTCTACTATCTCAGCAGCGTCCCATCTTTCTCCTCAGCTTCTTTGACCTTCCCCGTGAAAATGCCACACCTGTGGGGCCGGGCTGTGAGCTCAGGAAGGACCGGAGGTAGATGGGGCTGGAGATGACAGCCAGAGACAAATGGAGGTCAAGCGGAGACGATGAGTCAAGACTCACCTATTGGGTCAGTGAAGTCGGGGGTGGGGGTGCTCAGGAGAGGAAGGAAGGCAGCTCCTGTCGCCATGAGCTGAACCCGAGATGAAGCCCCGGCCAGGGCTCTGAATGCCGAGCAGTGACAGGTGACAGCCACGAGCCTGCGGCAGCTGCTCGCCTCTGAGCACATCTGAAGGCTTTGGAGGGCAACGCGGGGCCCTGACAGACCCTGTCCCGACCCAGCCTCCCCACTCGGGTCTCAAGAGCTGTGGCCTTCGGGCCAGGCTGCAGTTCCCACACAGGCTTCCGGGCGAGGGGTGACCTGGCCCCACCCGGCCCCCGTCTTTTCCGCTGCCCTCACCCCGTCTCCGCTATCTTCTGGGAAGTCCTGCCCACCCTTCTGCTCGCCAAAGCTAGAACGTCTTCCAACCTCTGTCCTGCATGACCGGGCCTCCACGCAGGCCTCCGGCTGAGCTCCCCAGTGCACAGGCTGGACAATAACTCTCCCCACTTCAAAACAGCCGGCAGGGGTCGGGGGGGAGCTGGTCACATCCAACGTCCTCTGTGAAGGCTTTTGCTATGTACTATAGCCCAGCGCTGGCTCTTCAGCGTGGCAGGGACCACTGTGCATCTGTAGTTTGCACGCACGGCCAGTGTCTGCCTGGGATGGTTCACCTCCATCCTCTTTGGCCTAAGTCTCTGTATTCTGCAACAGGCCCGGAATCTTTAGCTCTAAACGCGGGAGCCCTTCTTCACCCTGGCCCACCAGGACCCCTGAACCACAGGCAAGGTCAGCGGAGCTGTACTCGGGAAGTGAACACAGCAGACGGGTCAGCGCCCCAGGTCTGCCCCAGCCACCGAGTTCCGGGAAATCCCTCTTCCGGGCCATTTACTGTGCCTGCCTTGTGTCTGGCATGGGGCTAAGTGCTTTCCAGCTTCCCTGTATTCAATCTCCAAGACTCTTCTCCGACGTGGGAATTGATGCTATTCCTGTTTCCCAGGTGAGCAAACTGACTCAGAGAGAGAGGCCAGGTATGATCGCCAAGGTCGTGCAGAGCAGGGATTGGAACACAGGTCTTTTGTCTGCCAAAGCCCAGGTACCCATTTCTCTAAGCTGACCCCAAGCATCAGATGGGCTGATTCTATAGTCCCTTTCTGCTGGAGGCCCCTCAGGTCTGTGCCTCATAGGGGTGAGTGGGTCAACTCATTGGGGGGCTCATTGGGTAGCTCACTGGGGGGCTGGGTCTTTGACCACAGGCATGGCCCAGAGGGAAGAGCTGGGTAGGGCCCCACCTGCCAGCACAGGTCTGCTCTGTGGCCAGCAGAGGGTGCCACAGGACCTCATCAGAAAACTGGCGCTTGTGACCATGATGGTGTCAGAGCCCGTTCCCCGCAGTAGCGCCAGCTGAGGGCCCCTGTCATCCTTTCCTTCAAAGAACCAGGATCTCCTGCTAACATTCCAACTGGCCCTAAGACACCAGGTGCGGGGAGGCACAGGTGGGAGATCGGCTTGGGTGCCCCTGACTATTCAGCCCTTCTTCCCTTGTCCTTCCCTCAGCCTTTCCTCAATGGCCCTGCCAGCCTCTTCCCACCCCGATCTGGGGAAACCGGCTGGAGTCAGGAAAGGCCGTGTGACCCTGGGTAAGCCACCTTCCCTCTCTGGGTCCAGGATCCTCACCTGCAACGTGAGTTAGACTGGAGATCTCCCACCCACCCCTGCCCCACCCGCTTTCTCCAATCACCCCCAGCCCTGCCTAGGTGAGGCCTTCAGTGGGGCGAGAGGTCAGAGCCGGGGAGGGGCCCCTGGGTCTGTTGGCATCTCCAGAATGAGGCTGTCGGGGTGGGAGTTTAGCTGTGGGGGGAAAATGCTGGTCTAGGAGGGGTCTCAGTGGGTCTCTGCTTTCCTTCCCTGCTACCCGGGGGCGGGGGGACACCTGCTGATGCTTCAAGAAGGGGGGTGGCGGGTCTGCCCAAACCCCGCCTCTGGGCTTCTGTCTCCAACCTCAGCGGAAGCAGTGACACCAGCGAGTGAAGGTTTCTGGCTAATTGGGGTTGTCTTCAGCCCGTGCCAGCTCGTATGAAAGGACAAAACCATCCACTCCAGGGAAATCTGGGCCCCTTGGAGCCTAAGGAGGCAGCCCTCCTCGTTAGCGTGGCTGACCTTTGCCCCTTCCCTCCCCTCTGGGTCAAGTCTTTTAATTCTGCAGGCGACCCAGGCTCCCTTGATCCCAATCTCAGGCCTCCCTCACTCCCACCCCTCTGCTGGGCAGGAAGCAGGGGCGCCCCCCGCTGACCCCACCCCGCAGGCTCGTTCCACTCTCATCAAGCCGGGCCTACCCCAGCCTGACCTCTGCCCTGGGGACTGGCCTGGCCCTACTCTCGGAAGCACCGATTCCTGGATCTGTGAGGTGAGACAGGGGTGAGTCATTGTCAAGGACTTCAGGGTGGCTGTGGGCAAGGGCACCTGTTTGCGGGGAGTGAGAAGCGAGCTTCTGGGGGCTATCGCTAAAAGGGGGACCACGACACCTTTGTTCCAACAGTTTTTCCCCTCCGTGTGTCTTTGTGGGGGCAGATTTACAAGCTCCTCCTTTCCAATTAAAAGTATTCCCCTTCAAAGGGTTTAAGTTTGGAATTGTGCTAAATTTCGATTCACTAACTTACTAGTGTCGTTATCTCGGGTGCGGAGGGAGTCCTCAAAGTGTGTCCAAGTCCAAGATCCCCAATTTAACTCCTCTATATTTGCCTTCTCTTGTCTTCCCAGGGGGCCTCAGGAGCTCCCCCCAACGGGCTCCTGGAGACACCCTGCAGCTGCGGAGGCGGGCACCCCAAGTCTTGCCCCAGGTGCACAAAGCATGGATGGCACAGGCTGCAGTGGGAGCAGGCCAGCGACCCCCAGGCCGGGACATCCCACCACTTGGGAGGCTGGCTCTTGACCCAAGAGGCTATCAAGAACCAATGCCCGATTGCTGGCCGGGAAGGGGTAGATTCCAATCATTGTGGCTTAGAAAGCTCTGGGTGAGCACAGGTGGGTAGAGCAGGGGCTGCCTGCAATGACCTTGAAGGCCTGCCCTAGCCCTGACTTTTATGAGGCCACTGACTCTCCAGCTGGGCCTTGTACAGGAGCGCCTTGTGGCATCAGTAGGGTTTCTTTTCTGGTCCCCACTTCCAGGTGGAGGGACCCGTCATTTACTGAGACGACAGGATAAAAGCCGGCTCCTTGGAGCACAAAATGGCCACGCTCCTGTCCCGTGGGAGCAGCCTCTTAATTGGTGATTTACTGCTTGTTGAACAAGCGGGGCAGGGACTTGGCAAGAAGACATAGGCTGGAGGGAGGTGGGGGGCTTCAAGGTCAGCTCCCAGCCAAGCGCAGGTCAGGCCAGAGGAGTGTGGGGTGATGCAGGGACCTCCCTAGCGTGAAGCTCCCTCTGCAGCCGGAGGGCGGGAGGGCCCGGGCAGAGCAGCTCCACACACAGACTCTTTGTTCTCTGCAGGGAGGAGGAAGGCCTGTCTGAGTGTGGGGAGTGGAAGGCTGCAGGGAAGGGAGGAGGTGGGGGTGTGTGGGGTGAGGCCAGCAGGCGGCTCAGGCCTCGGGCCTGGCCCAGGGCCCTTTCCCGGGCTGGGAAAGCTGGGTGAGGAGGGCTAATGTCTCTCTTTCCTCTAAAGGGTTCCTAGGACTCCCTTCCAGGAAAAGGCAGCTCATTTCCTTCTTCGCTGCCCTAGCCAGCTCCAGACAGGAGAGGCCTGGAACCAGGGGGATGCCAGGCCCTCCGGTAATTAGGACCGGCAGGAAGTGATCTTGGGAATTACCGGGGTCAGGCGCCCCATTGAAGGCCAGGGTTTTGGAAGGGCGGCTGGTTTGTAATCTCGATTTGAGATCGGTTGATTTTGTAGTTAGCTCCAAAAAGAAAAGTCAGCTCTAATTAATCTGTGGACTTTGGAGTGTGGGAGAAACAGGGCCCAGAGAGCACAGGCTAGGGGCTGGAGGCCGGCGGGGTGAGACTCCCAGTCCCCGAGAGGCCTCAGATCTGAGGCCTATGTCGGGGATCCCTGATCTGCTTTAACTGAAACAGTCTGGATGTTCCCACTGGGATTTCATGGTTGTGAAAGAAAGTGCTGTCCCCACCCCAGAAGGCTCCTGCAGCCACGGCTGCCCTCGGCATGGAGCCCGGGGCTGCACGTGAGTGCCCTGTGGAGCCTGGGGTTGCTCAGGCCCTCTGAGAGCCACAGGGGTGCGAAGGGGGGGTCTCAGGCATAGCTGTGGTGGGGCCCTGAGACAAGCTGCCTTCTCCTGGTTTTACTGAAGGCCTGGTACCATGCTAACTCCTTGGGGCAATCATTCGGGGGGGCGGGGGCGGGGGGGGGTGGGGGGAGGAGGAATCAAGGCCAATGGACAAAAAGCGCTCCACTTCCTGGGCTCTTTGACCGAAATGCACCAAGGCCCCTGAGTTCTGCTCGCAGAGAGCCTGGGAAGCTCAGAGAAAGGCTTGAATCCAGCCACAGCCTTTTCTCATGGGAAGGAGATCAGCCCACCCCCACCCGTCTTCCTTCTGGGGGAGGAGGGCCTAGCGGAAATCATGGCCACCCCCCACCCCTGCCCCCCACCGCCCTGCCATAAGGCCCAGGTAGTAAAGTCATTCAGAGCAAGGATGGCAAAGACGCGGGGATCAGACAGAACTGGGTTACTACTTCCTGCCTGTGGACCTTCTGGAACTCACCTCTTTGGGCCTCAGTTTGCTCATCTGTAAGTTAGGGTTAAGAATAAAACCTTCCTCACAGGGTTGCTATAGGGATCCAGGAACATGATGTATGCAAAGTGCCACGTACGCAGCCTGGCGTGTTGAAAAGACCCGGTGAGGCAGCTTAATGATACTAGCGGTCCTTCTACAGAAATGTGTCCACCCACACGGCCCCCTGCTGTGACTGGCAGACCGGGATGATCACACCCTGTCGGAGAAGGACTGGAGGAGTGTGGGAAGGGCCGGTGTGGCCGTACGGCGGGGGCCCAACTTGGACCGGGTAGGAGAGCGTCTGCTCCTCTCGCCCTCACCCCAGCGCCCTAGACATCCCACCTTAGGGCCCAGCTGATGTCCCTTGGGAGCCCCACAGCCTCCGCAAGGAGTGACCGCAGTTGGAAGCTGCTCTAACAGGGGGCCGTCCCAGCCTGCCTCCCCTGGTCTGAAAACGCAAGGCCCCTAGCCTGCGGGGAGGGACTGTGTGCCTCAGTCCTGGTCCTTCATGCAGACCCCAAGGCTTACCGCTGACCGCCCCGCGCCAGTGCACCCCCTGCTGCCGGGTCAGATGGACCAGCTCCGACACGCTTAGAGAGAGGCTCTCACCAGGTTTTGTGACCTACATACCCCGTCTGACAATACCCGTCGATCCCCTTGAGAGAGAGCCAAGGTTGCAATGTTTTAAACACACGTTGCATCGTACGACACATTTAAAGCAGATCGGTGGTCATAAATTTGGATCAAATCGGTACCACATGGGTACACGATAATACTCACAGTGTCTAGGCAGCATGGCTGGTCCCGAGCGGGGTGGGGGCAGCATGGGGCCTGCTGGCACCCTGGGCTTTGATCCTAAGGAGCTAGGGAAGGAGACTGCCTGCTGGCCTGGCTGGTCACTGAGAGGGATGCCAGGCCTGGTCCAGCCGCCCAGGGGTGGCGGTGGTGGGCAGAACCGATCATTAGCAAACTCTGCAGGCCACGAAACATCTTTGCTAAGAGTTCAGTTCCACCCATGCTGAAAGAAAGGCTCCCTGCCTGTGTATCAGGTCGCCAGGACGGAGAATTGAAGCAGACGTGGGTCTGTCGGTTACCCCATGGGTTCCCCTTGCACCCGAAACACAGGGGCCGTCCTACGGCCTCTGCCCCGGTATGGTGCTCCGACCGCCAGCGCTCACTCCTCCCTGGGTGCTGGGGTGGGTGCCTGTTACCAGCATCCAGCTGTCTCCTCTGCACGCCCCCTTCCAAGTACAGAGGGGAGGAGAGAGGAAAAGAGACAATAGGTAGATAGACACAAGAAGGAGTTCAGGGGATAAGCCTCCACATTCCAGGGAAGGCACAGGGAAGACAGCCCGTGCACAGCTAGCTTAGCCTAGGCCGACACCCTCTGAGTAGACACTCACTTCTGTGTCTGGGCCAGAAGACTGGCCCCTGGGCTCGGACTCATGAGACCTGGCCTCCGATTCCAGCATGATCTTTCGGCAGCCGTGCAACCTTGGGCAAAGGACTGACTTCTCTGAACTTCTCATCTGTACGCGGGGGGGATACAGAGCTCTAACGGGCCACGGTCAGGACCGGTGGGATAGGGAGCACGTGGACTTTGGCTAAACCAGAGATGGGAAGTCCCTGGGCACCTGTCCCTGGGCACCAGCATCCTTGTCTCGGCGCTCCGACGGGAAGCAAACTTTTGCCTGAATATGGTGGTCACTGGCTCGAGACACCCACAGCCCCAGTGGGTCTGGGGCAGTGGGATGGGCACTTGTAGCCTCTTGAGAGTCCCTTGACACCTGGCCCTGAGCTGAGGCTATTCCCTCCTCAGAAAAATAGACCCCCAAGCTCCTTTCTGGATGAGCCAGATTTCCAGTGGGCCCGCGGATGCAGATGCCTGCCGTGGCACACGGTTTCCCCGCCGCTGGCATCGCGGTGACTCTGGGGGAACTTCTGGCTGCCTGCACGGAACCAGGAGGCAGCAAATTTTGTAAGCCTGTGTGTGTGGATGGAAGCAACCGCAGAGGCTATAATTTCCACTTCCTGACACAACACAAATTTCTCAGTTTGTGCAGAACTAATTAAAGGTCTCTCAGGTCTTGCCATTTTGGCCCCCTGCCCCCCCGCCAAGCTCCCATAAAACAGTGCGGTGATGGCAGCCGCCCGATTATAGAGTGTGAGGAATGTGCTTCTCCAGAGCAATCTTTCCCGTTCCCAAGTCCCTCCCCCTTCTCGTTCTCCCTCTCCTTCCTGCGTCCTTCCTTCTCCTGGCGCTGGGTCTAGAGGGCTGCATGAGGCTCCTTGTGGCAGGTGGTACCACGGGAAGGACCCAGGCCTGGGCTGGAGTTCCTGCTCTGTCCCTGAGGAGCCATGACACTTTGGGCAAGCCTCAGTGTCATTTGTTAAACAGGAGAGTAGCACCGGCCTCAGGGTGCCTGGGCGGCTCAGCCGGTTAAGTGTCCGACTTCGGCTCAGGTCACGATCTCACGGTTCATGAGTTCGAGCTCCGCGTCAGGCTCGCTGCTGTCAGCCCAGAGCCCGTTTCAGATCCTGTCTCCCTCTCTCTCTGCCCCTCCCCTGCTCTCTCTCTCTCTCTCTCTCAAAAATAAATAAGCATTTAAAAAAAAGAAAAAAGAATAGTACCAGCCTCGCAGCGTGGTTTTAGGATTAGAAATAACGCAGGTCACATTGAAGGACAGCCTGGGCACATGGTAGGCATTCAGTAAGTGGTGGCTATTATTAGCATCATTTGTAAGTTATTATCGTTATTGTAATGACTGCCCCTGGGCCTTTGCTCAACTTGTCTCCCTGTCTAAAGTGCCATGTCCCTTCAGATCTGCTGGTTGAAGGATCACCGTGGTGGATTAAAAACGGCCATGGATGCTTTGCTATTCCTTCCACAAGAAGTGGAGGCGGCGTGTCCTCCAGCACCCCACTGACGCGCGTGACTTAGCCACGTGACTTCCTCTGACCAATAGGATAGCAGAAAGTGTGATGCCTTGACCGCTTTGGAAAAGCTCTGTGCTCTCAATATTTGCGGGTTTGAACACTGCCCTGGGCCTGCCATGCTGTAAGAAAACCTGTGTAGCCTGCCGATGGCTGAAACGCCACACGGGGGAGAACAGAGACACCCAGACCACGGCCAGCACCAACCCCCAAACGTGTGGATGAGACCGTCTTGGCCTCTCTGGCCTTTCCACCCATCGTCTAACGCAACGGCCCGAGCGAGCCCAGAGGAGACCAGCAGAACTCCCAGATGGCCAATCCACAGAACCAGAGTGAGAAATAAATTACCACTTGAAGCCAGGAAGTTTGGGACGGTTTGCTACACAGCTACGGATAACCGATACGCCCACCCATTCACCAAGATTGAGCCCACAGGCTGTTTTCTCCCAGAAGACTTCCCAAACGCCTCCCAGCCTGGGATGAATCTCTCTACCCCACTACCCATATTCACACGGTGCTTTGTGATGGTAGCTTAGCACAACCTGCCTTCACCAGGATTATTTGTACAGGAATCTCTGTCTCTCTGGACTGCAAGTTGCCAGAGAGCGGGGTTGGGACCCCACCTCCATATTCCCCACCATGCTCAGCATGGAGCTCTGCCCAGGGCGGGCCCTGGTAATCTGTTCCCATTTACCAGGCCCTCAGGGGGCCAGTGAGAACCTGACTGCCTTGGTACAGATACAGGGCCCGCCCCAGTTGGTGGTAGGGGACCCACCTGAGTCTGAGGTCTGGCTGGGCCACTCATCACCTAAGGTCTTGCCCCTCTGAGCCTCCTCCTCCCCCCAGTGGAGACGCAAACTCCTGTCCAGCCAACCTCACAAGTGTGAGGCTCACACTGGGCAAGCATGTGTGCAAACACGCATGGGCACAAGTCCTGACCCCGCATGCGTCATGGTGAAGACCCACTTGGGTTACTAGGGGGGGCGGGAGGTAAGATCCTTCCTTCCCCCTCCCACTCCTCCTTACCTTTCGGCCGTGGTAACCCTGGATTCCTGGGTCTCCCTGGGGGAACAAAGAGAAGACCGTTAGTGGGACTTTCCCAAATTCTGGCTCGCGCTGTCGCCCTCACAGTGCCCTTCCTCTTCTCAACGACTGCGAATCCTCCCGACTTCCAGCCAACCCTGGATCAATAGCTCTGCTTCCTCTGAAACACACGTGCGACGTGGTTGGGCACGGTCAGTGCTTTGCGACTTCTTGTCCCCAGAGCCCCGGGGTCCCCGGCTTCAGAGGGAGAGTCTGTTTGACACTTTGGGCCTCCATACCAGGTCTCACTAGAAACCCGATGACCCTGCAGGTCCCTTCCGGTTCTGACTCCAGGTGAATCGCTCTTTTATTGGGACGCTGTGACAGTGCCCCGGGCATCAAGCTGGAGTTTCCAGCCAGACTCTAAGCTCCTCGGAGGGTGGGGCCGCGGCTCCCATACTCGTCATCATGCCTGCACACAAAAGTGTGCAATGCCTAGGGGACCCAGGCAGTTCCCAAGAGGGGAGTGGCGCTTTGGGAGCGAGCCAGGCGTGATCCGTCCCTCGCCGAGGTCCCTCTCAGCTCCTTACTCGGCAGCCTTAGGCGCCGAGTCTCCCCCCGCAGACAGCGCTCCCACCCATTCAGTGTGTCACCCCAAAGGGCCCTCACCTTTGGTCCTGGAGGCCCAGGTAAGCCCTGTGGAGGCAAGAGCAGGGTGAGTGGAGATGGGCTCTGCAGGGAGATAGTGCAGGTTAGGCGTGTGCGCGGTGGAGGCCGGGCCAGGGGAGGGCCCGAGCAGCGATAATGAGTTCTGGATGTGCTAGGGAGCGGGTCTAGAAGATCCTGGACCGGTATCTGAAACCTGCCGAGGGCACACGGGGACGACAGGCTCGAGGGCCTCTTTGGTGCCATGTGGGCACCGTGGGCATCTCTGCTGTGCCCGCCCACTGGAAAATATTTGACAGTGTGGTTTGGTCCAGGTCCCCGCCCACCCGCCTCCTAATTGGGACCCCTCCCTGGGAAGCCGACCTTGCCCAACAGAGCCTTGGTTTTGCCTTTCTTTGGCCCTGTCAGCCTCCTGAAGAGCCTTCTGTCTCCTTCTGCCCCAGGGCGCTGTGACCACGGCAGTCAGCCGTGGGGAGGTGGTGTGGGCCCAGGGCCCGCGGGAGCCCAAGGGAGAGGCGAAGGAAGGCTGTGGCTCCACTGTGGTCTGGGGTGTAGGTGTGGGCAGCGAACGTGGGCTGAAGAAAACCAAGATGCCCAAATCTGGTCTGTTTCAATTGGTTTCAAAACATGCTTCCTGGTTTTTCTTCTTTATAAACAACCTAACAAAGAAAACCATCTGGCTTGGGTCCAGTGAGTAGGAACCCAATACGTTGGGGTAGGGGTCGTCAAAGAAGTAGATTTTGAGTACTTTGTTGGTTTTCTTGCCTGGGTTGGGTTCAGGTCCCTAAGTTTCACTTCCTTTCAGGGTTTCCATTTTCCCATCTCCAAACCCATAGAAGTGAGACTAATATTTCTCCCCGGGGTCCAAAACAGAAATATTTAAAATCTATTGTGGAGGTCAAGCTGGGCGGGAGAGCTGGCAAGCTAGGTTTTCACATTGCTGAGGTGCCAAGCTGGGTGCCCTGGGCGGCCAGGGCTGTTGTCCGGCATTGGTAGCAACCTCAGCTACACCGGACCTCGGCATCGGTGGCAAGAGCAGCTGAGGGGCCCAGGTTTGTGGCCGAGTGACCTGGAAAGTAGCTGTTGTCATCGAGGACTATTTGGCAGGGACATCGCTGACCTAGCAATTCCCCACCTCTGGGAATCTGTTGCAGCGAAAGAATCAGAGATGCACACACACATTTATGGGCAAGGCTATATATTACAGAAGGAACTCATTAACTATTTGTAAATAGGCCCAGCAGCAGCCCTAAGATCCACATCACGGGGGACTTCGGCCGTAGGGAAGGGAGTGGTTTATGATATTAAGTAAAAAACATAAGAGGACACAAACCGTTATATTATTCAGCACACTTGCGGACCTGGAAAATGCGTGAGTGCCGCTACGTCTAAGGAGAAAAATGGAAGGGCCCTCCGAAATGTTAATAACGGGGAACTCTATGCATAGGGCAAAATAGACGCTTTAAAACACTTTGTCCGTCTTCGAAATTTTTCTCAATGAATGTATGATGCTTTTGGCATAAGAAGGATAAAGGTTTCTTTCAATCATGTGAATAAACCATGTTGAACAGATGTTGCCTTTAACCCTGTCCCTTCAGAAACATATGGCCTTAGTCTTACCTCGAAGACTGAGAGGACCCATTTTCTGCAAAGAAGTCCAGGTTATTCTGCCCTGGTTCTCTGTTGCATTAAATAGGCCAGGAGAGCGGGGTCTTGACCAAGGCTTGGGAACCTTGGTGGCTTGACCTACTGCCTGAGCGTGGTCTGGTCTGGAGGGGGCACCTGTTGACCACCCTTGGCTACAGCAGTGATCCAATCCTCGGGCTTGATTCAGGGTCCCCCTGGCTTACCAGACATCCAGATTGGCTGGAAGGCGGCCCAGGGGTGCAAAACCCACATACAGCAGCAAAGGCATATTCATTAGGGTGCCGGGTGGTCAGATGGCCCTTAGCTACCTTCTTCAGAACCCACTGCCCCCAACTCAGGTTTTTCTAAGCCCAGGGGTCAGGGGACAGCCTTCAAAGGCGGCCCTGGGAACTTTCTTTCCAAGCTCTTCTCTGCCGAGGCTGGGAAAGGGGCAACCTCTTAGTGATTCCCTGCCTGGAAAGCAATGACTGGAATTGAGGCCTGGCCCCAGGAGCTGGGTTTTCAGAACCAGAGTTCAACAGTTGAGTTGGGCAGGGATGGGGAGCTTCTTGCGTGACCCGCCTACGTCCAATGGCCTTGCCAAGGTGTTTCTGCCTGTTAGGCGGGGACCCAGATTCTTGTCAGTTATGCAAAGTTGGGATGCTTCCAGAGAATTCTTGGGACAAACCTTGGGAGAGGAGGTGGTAGAGAGAGGAAGGAGATACTTACGGGTGGCCCCATGGGCCCTGGCAGTCCCGGGGGCCCCAGAGGTCCGCTCGGTCCAGGGGGGCCTGGTGGCCCCGGTGGTCCTTGGATACCGGCCTGGCCCTGTTCGCCCTGAGATTGGTGGAAATGAGAGTTAGAGGGAGACCCTCAGGGCTGGGGAACGGCTCCCGCCCCAGTGCCATGCACCCGGTGAGGGCCCTATCGTGGGCTCTGGTGGGAAGGCAGTGGGGCGTGACGGTGATGATGCCGTGGTGGCGGCTGCATGCAGGGACCAGTGGCAGCAAGGAGACGGCCAAGACATTCGGCTCCCAAGAGGAGGGGTCCAGAGAGGATCTGCCACACGAGCGGCTGGCCCCTGAGCAGAAGCCCTGCCGGGACCAGAGGCAGAGGAGTGAGCGAGAAGACCCCACCTGACCTCGAGCATATTTGCGGCCTGGTCAGATGGCCGGGGTCCAGCCCAGGTGGTCCTCAGCCTGGCCTGCCTCGGCTCCTCCCTCCGTGTGAACGGTCACATCCTCTCTCTACACCCACCCGCCGGGCATCGAAGGAGAGCAGTACAATCCTGCTTCCGTTTCCTGCCGCAGGATTTTGCTGTCTGATTGTCTGACTCGGACGGTCAAAGGAGGGCCTTAGGTCACAGGCCGCAGAAGTTGGTGTGGCTCACTAAACAACTGGGTGAGTGATTTTATGTAAAACATTTGGGCTGGGGGCTTCTGATGGCACAGGGAGAGCCCTGTCCCTCGAGGCCCACATTCCTACGGGTGATCACGGACCGAGCCCGGGGTCCAGGTGGCCTGGGTTTCCCCTCCCCCATCCTTCCTGCGTGAGGCCTGCTTCTGTCACCTACATGATCTGTGCCTGGCTTCACAGGACAATTGAGTTGGCAACCCTGAACTTGGTTGAGTTTTGAAACCGTAAAGTGCTTTATGCCCATATGGGTCTCGGTTAGTGTTCTTTTGCCCCACCCCTACTCCTCAGTCAGCTGCTCTGAGCCCAGCATTTGTCACCCACCTTCCCTGTGCCCAGGGTGGACCGAAGGCCCAGGGAGCTAGGGGTGGCATCGGGTCCCCCCCCGGAGGAGGAGAGAGCCTGGCCATGTGACCCAGATCATGGGATTGGGGGCCAAGCCGAATCATCCAAGATCTAGGCCGATGCTGTCATATTATTTTCTAAGCGACCTCCCCACGGACCATCTGGGCCCAGCTCCTGTGAGAGGGAGCCCATCCCTGCAGATGGCCGGGCGGGTGTGCGAGAGCTCCAGGCTGGGATGCAGGGGGACACAGGCGGCCGGAGGTGCGGCTTCAGTGTGCTCTCGGCAATTCCCACAGGAGGAAATGGTGAGTCCAGGTGGGGGCGCCCAGCTTCAGAAGGAGGACTGTGGGATCCTAGCAGCACCTGCTTCAACCTCCCTTGGCCGGGACGTGCTGGCGCAGATGACCCGGGGTTTCGTCCTGCTGCCCGCTCTGAGAAGCCGCTGGAGGGCGTGGAGCGTCCATGGTGGAGGAGGCAGGGGCAGCGATGGGTCACAAGTCGCGTTTTGCAGAAGAGAAAACGGGCTTGGAGAAGTGGAACTCCCTGACGGAGGCCACGTGGAGAATTCAGTGGGGAGCCGGGACCCAAACTTGGAACTCCGGACTATTCTTATTCATTCCAAATAAGCACCCCCCCCCCCCC